TACTAGGAAATTACCAGTTCATAACTTAGATTTTTGTTTTTTAGGAGAAACAGTTTCTGCAGAATTTAAAGACATTATTCTCCGTACTTTCTCCCAAAAAAACAGTTAAAGGTAAAGCTAGCCCAATATTTAAGTATTATCTTTTAGAATTTTCAGAGTATTTTTTTTGTAAAATATAGAATTTATGTTCAATAGTTGCTAACCCTTTATTAACTGCGTCATTCATGTAAATTACGCATGTCATTCTTATTGTGCGTAATAGTTCAAGAACACGTGATATTTTGGTTTTAACTATATTATCACATTTGATACTGTTTGCTTTTATCAAATAGTGTCATCATATTAATCTATTATCGTGTAAACAAGCTGGGGTCTTATCAGGCACAATCATTTATTTAATCATTTATTCATCCTTTCATCCTGTTCAATTTGTTCATCCTAATTATCCAGTTCATTCCGTTCATCTTGTTCATCTAGCTCATCTTGTTTATCTTGTTTATCTTGCTCATCTTGCCCATCTTGCTCATCTTGCTCATCTTGCTCATCTTGCTCATCTTGTTCATCTTGCTCATCTTGCTCATCTTGCTCATCTTGCTCATCTTGCTCATCTTGCTCATCTTTCTCATCTTGCTCATCTTGCTCGTCTTGTTCGTCTTTTTCGTCTTGTTCGTCTTGTTATCTTGCTCATCTTACTGATCTTGCTCATCTTGCTCATCTTGCTCATCTCGCTCATTTCGCTCATTTCGCTCATCTTGTTCATCTCGTTCATCTCGTTCATCTCGTTCATCTCGTTCATCTCGTTCATCTCGTTCATCTTGGTTCATCTGGTTCATCTGGTTCATCTGGTTCATCTGGTTCATCTTGGTTCATCTTGGTTCATACATATATATCCTAGAATTTTTTATATATATGCTATGTATCCTAGAATCAACTATATATCTTAGAATCAACTATATATCTTAGAATCAACTATATATCCTAGAATCAATCGTCTATACCGTAGAATCAATTATCTACGCCCTAGAATGGAATCAAATATATATAATTCTTACAATTAATTGTGTATACCCCGAATCAAATATACAGAAATCCTAGAATGAACTGTGTATATCCTAGAATGAACTGTGAATATGCTAGAATCAATTGTGTATATCCTAGAATCAAATATATATAAATCCTAGAATGAACTGTGTATATCCTAGAATCAAGACGGAACCGAACAGATTAAGTAGATCCTATGTATACCCTCTATATGCCGCTGCCAGTGTATTCAATAGGATGAGTTTCTTTACAAACATTGTTAAAAATGTAAAGGTATAGTTGCAATTTTTTTTTCATTTTAAAAAGCTCAAGCTAGATTTTTACTGAATTTTTTTAACTTAACAAAGAATAATTTCGTTGAGATAATACCGCTATAACAATAGGAATGAATATCATTATTTGATCAAAATTAAAAACATTTTTTTGAAGATATATTTTTTTCCAGGAATTTTATTCCGAAATCAATGCTGCAACACTCACAGGAGCCATTGATGTAATCGTAATTCAAGATGAATCTACTCTCTTTATCATAGCGCACCGGACCCTTAACTAACCCCTCTCTTTCTCTGCTCCAAAGAATCACTTTTTTCAAATCATATTGATTTGTCAATACAAAAACCGTTGTTACATCACCCTACTGCAACGGTTTTCCCTCTATGCTGTTATTACTTCTCTAAATTTTAGCTTAGTTGGAAAATGAGAACACCTGTCTAAAAAATCTATGACAAATATAAAATTTGTCAATACAAAAACCGTTGTTACATCACCCTACTTCAACGGTTTTGCAGAAATGCACGAACTTTGAGTTTCGTGGATTTTGCATCCATCTATTAGAAACCGGTTTTATTCCCCCCCCCCTCTTGGCAAAAGGCAACACCCTCATTTTTGACTAATGTAAACTACAAACTTACTACGGACTTTCCGCCCGTCCTTAAAAAGTGTCGTTTATGATTGGGCGACTTTGCTTCGCACTGCTTTCAGAGAAAATTCTTGAATGCAAATTGACGCAATCCCGAAGTAATGCTCAATTTAAAGAATCCACGATTTTAAATATTCAATTTTTAGGATGATAAAATGTCTTTCTCATTTATGATCACAAAGTTTTGCGGTATCATTTGTGTTTCTGATATTTTACTTTATAGATGTAGGGTTACTCGAAATTATAGATGTAGGGTTACTCGAAATTACATTAACAGTCTCGTTAAGAAAAAGTTATAAGAGGACGTGAGTCAGACTCTAATAAAAAGCATAAATAACTTCCAGTATATATATTTCTTATAACTTATTACTAGAGGGTTCAGAACTAGAGTCAATATCGATATCACACGTGTAGATGATATATCAGTACTATGCCCCGTATCCGTTCTATCTCATTCTGTTGAATCTTGTGGAACTTGTTTAACGCGGCCAGGCATCGTCTTCCACAAAGTTTTAATTTGATGGAAATGAAATATATTTAATATTTAAATCGTAGGTTTGGAAAACTGGGAGTACTCAAGGCGAGAGAAAAAATTGTAAGTAAAAAAGTTAAAGCATTTTAGATTTTAATGATTAAGTGAATCATTAGACCCTCACAATAGCGTCACATTCAAGAAAAAGTTGGCGTCAAACATAAAAAGTTGAAGTTTTAAAACTGTTAAAAAGAAAATCTGAAGATTTAGAATCGTAAGAGTTACATCATTATTTCTTTGTTTACCCGGCGGACCTATTCTACTCTTAAATGATGAGTTTGCAAAACAAAAATATTCTCCTTTCCTAATATAGGACAATCCCCCCCCCGCCCACCAATTTTTTCGATTAATCCGGTGAAATGATGTCAACTTTATGTTTTTTTTTTTCAAATATGTCACTTTAATGCTGTCATGCGTTCAATCCCGCATTCCTTTAAAATGTTGACGTTAGCTAAAAAGATTGTTCGTGTACTCTATATTTTAATCATACAACTTTTGGGGTGAAATTAGGATTTGGTACATAACTGTTTCTTTTTCTTGTTTAACATAAACTTTTTCTTAATTTAGAGCTTTCTATTTGATTTTAAGTTTAAATTGTTGTTTTCATACTTTTCTGGGAATTTCTGTTTTTTTTTGGGGGGGACCAAGGATGTCTTTTTCAGATAATTTTAAGATATGTTTTAAAAAGTCAAGGTACGATTTTGATAACATTTAGTTTTTAAAATTATTATTTTTTGAAAGAAGTTTAGTTATTTTTTTGCTACGCACTAGATGAAAGTTAAGAAGATATATTTTTAAAACACTTGTTACGTATTCACACTCGTAGAACTTGAACTGAGACGTAGATATTACAGCATCAAGCCCCTCATTTAATTGATTTAAGACCAATGATTAAATTGTCGGTTGATCAATTAATTTAATTTAGGTTGATTTGGAGATCAATGGAGAACCAGTTTCAATTCAGATGAAACTAGGTGAGTTAAATAAAGAATCCTTTCTCCTTGTGTTATCTAGTCAATGCCTGTGTATATAAATATATATATATACAGTAGTAATCTCTGTTTGTTTTTATGTATTTCCGATTAAAGGTTAGGAACCCCTTGACGATTTGTCACAAATTTTGATTGTTCATAGTTTTGGTTTAACATATCTTAGTTTAATGGATTGACTCTTATAATGAAAGCTTTGTTTTCAAGAACAGCTGGGTTTACTGGCTAGGGAAAAAGAAGTAGAGCTTTGTTTAAACTCCTATCCAGGAATCTGTATTACACTTTTTTCGATAAATATATAAGGTTTCCCGGTTTACCTTCCTGGAATTGTGTATTATCTAATTGTATGATTCTAGTATCAAATTTCTTCGTATAAACCTTGAATTTACCTATTCTTTCTTGTTTTGACACCTGTATTNAGTGACGAATTCGATATCGTCTTTGTTATCAATTAGCATTGTAATACCTAATTTCAAAAGTTATTATTCAAAATATTTACCCCTTTCTTTAGATGATAATGGTGCAGCATTCTTTGTGGAAGATGTAGAGGAGGAGGAATGGAGTCCGCACCTCGCAACCTCTCCAATACCCTCAACTGGATCATGGGAGTGGAACAAGGTAATAGATTGGATAATGATAACTTTTGTGTGAAATAGCTCTAATATCATCCCGGGGCATTATCCAATATCCATGGATACATTGGTTGAACAGGAGCTCCGACCCCAATTTCATTCCCTTCCTGGTTGTCCTTTAAAGTTGAAGGTCAGCTACAACAATTTCTAGTCCGAGCCACATTCTCCTCATTTTCTCGTCCGAGCCAACTCGAAATCCTCGTCCTTCTAATATTATTTCTTTTTAGTGTCTTTCGAAGATAAAACAATTTTTTAAGAATCGGGCCAAGTTCTAGCTATAGCTGTAAGATTTCTGAAAAAAATGTAAATTTGGAATTACATAAATATCTGACCTGTGAATTTCTTATGTTCCCACTCGCAATTTTGTGTTTGTGGGGCTAGGTTTTAATTATTGCAAGTTAACGTTGCCATAGAACTACTAAACTATTTGACTCGTGATTTATCTTAACAGTTTTTAAATCAATTTAAATTAAAAATCAATTTTTAGAATGCGTCTCCAGCGCCCTTGGAGGTTCAAAACCCACTGAAGATTCAATTAACAGAGGTGATTGACTTGGTTGATTTAATTGATTTGATTTGATTGACGATTAAATTGATTTGATTGACTTGATTAATTTGATTGACTTGATTGAATAACCGTTGTTACATCACCCTACTGCAACGGTTTTCCNTTGACTTGATTGACTTGATTGACTTGATTGACTTGATTGACTTGATTGACTTGATTGACTTGATTGACTTGATTGACTTGATTGACTTGATTGACTTGATTGACTTGATTGACTTGATTGACTTGATTGACTTGATTGACTTGATTGACTTGATTGACTTGATTGACTTGATTGACTTGATTGACTTGATTGACTTGATTGACCAAGATTGACTTGATTGAGTAGACTTACCAAGATTGGCTTGATTTGGCTTGATTGACTGGATTGACTAGATTGACTGGGTTAACTTGATTGACATAATTGACATAATTGACTTGAGTGACATAATTGACTTGATTGACTTGATTGACTGGATCGACTGGATCGACTGGATTGGCTGGATTGACTGGGTTCGCTGGTATGGCTGGATTGACTGGATTGGTTGGATGGGCCGGGTTGACTGGGTTGACATGGTTGACTTGGTTGACTTGATTAGTTAAATTGACTTGATTGACTTGATCAACTAGTAATGATCTCGACTCTTTAGAATTGATTAGGAAACCAATGATATTGTATAAAGGAGGAGGATGGAAGGAAATCAATGATTTTGTATAAAGGAGGATGGAAGGAAATCAATGATATTGTATAAAGGAGGAGGATGGGAGGAAATCAATGATACTGTAAAAAGGAGGAGGATGAAAGGAAAGCAATGATATTTTATAAAGGAGGAGGATGGAAGGAAATCAATGATATTGTATAAAGGAGGAGGATGTAAGGAAATCAGTGATATTGTATAAAGGTGAACGAGGAGGAGGAGAAGGAGGAAGATGGAAGAAAGGGGAAACTGAACAAAAAGAAAAGAAGGAGAAGGAATCAGCTTCGACATGGTAGAAGGGGGAGTAAAGGATCCATCAAGGATATGGTTCTGGAGTCAGATCAGGTACTTTACTACTTGCTAGGGATTATAAATCAGGTATAAGGAAGGAGGTTTCTTAAGTTCTAATTTTCTAACTTTTTATTTGGGTATTAAATGATTTTTTCAGGGCAAATTAAGCTATTATTAGTAGGTTTTGAGATTTTTTTAGGTTTTCATAATTATTTTATATCACACAAAAAATAGTAGAAATATTGTTTTTAGAGAAATGCAATTTTTTTTGTGGGGGGGGGAGGAACATTGAAACTAAGACGTTTTTAATGTTGCGATATTTATTATTTAAGCTTTGCATAATAATCTTTATCTTTTAATTTCTCTTCTCATTTAGAATATTTGTCTTAAATTCTATATTTTAGAATATTTATTATTTCTCTTTCATTCAGGGGAAGTATCTAAAAGGAAGAAATATTGTCAGTAAAGTAAGAAATGTGAAAGTTCATATACCCCCCCCCCCACCCCCGCTTAAAAAATTATTTGATCTACAGTCTACACACATAGAATCAAATCAAGTTTAAATCCGAAAGAGAACCCAACGTGGAACCCCCAGACTGCCTACAGGGAACAGCGCTAAAACTAATATTTTCAAAATATTCAAATTGGTGAAAATTCTTAAATTACGAAGGACATGTTCCTGATGGACGATGTAAATGATGCAGACCAAGAGGACGATCTTGATTCAAACAACGCAGACGACAGGACGGACAGGGAGGACTGGATTGAGGAGAAGTGGAGTGGACAGTCCAAATCTCTCGTTCAGCCCAGTCCCTGGGGACAGAAAAACAAACTACCAAGAAACCTGAACTTAGGTAAATCAGTGGGTATTAAATTGAAAAAAAATAGAATTTTGATGATTTGGGATAAAAATTTATATTTTATTATACCCTCTTCATTAATACTTTTACTCAACCTGTCATAAATACCCAATACAATGCATATGGATGAATAATTGAAATTGTAAATGTACACGTTAAATTCTGTCTTAATTGTTTTGATAAATTGGTTACGGGTGGACCGAATACTTATTTAGCCAGAAACATTAACTCCCCCCAAAGTCTTTACTTAATTCTTATTTATTTATCGCACAAAATGTTTAGATTTTGCCAACTGCTTCTCTATGGAGAACACATCCACCCCTAACACTCTTACCCCAGTAGATGGATTGGATCGGGATCCTCTAGCTCTTAATCCCCTCGGGCACAGTGCACCCCAGACATCAAACCTCCTCCACCCTAGTGAGAGTTCAAATACTTTGCTAGGAGAAGAGTTAACCATTGAGAACTCTCTCATTGGGAGCAGAGTTCCGCTCGTACCAAAGTAAGAGTTATTTGATTCTTTTTTCCATGACCCTGTTTTCCAACTTCTTAAAAACCGAACATATTTGATTAATTCGTAATTTTTGATTAATTGATTTAACCATCGGGTGCCTTTTCGATTTTCAAGATTAATCTCTTATATCTTTTTATAATTTTGTTTTAAACTTAAGACATCGCATCAGGTTACAAAGATATCATGACGAAAAATAGAGTTTACAATGATTAGTTGATTGATTGATTTATTAGCTGATGATTGATTGATGTTAAGGTCTAGTTCTGAGGCTGAAGCTCTAGAGGCTCTATGGAGTTGTGCTGATCCAGGTTCAGGATCAAGGGAAGAATTCCGTCGACCTAAATCCGTGACCGCGGACTTTCATTATTTCAGTGATACAGGTTAACTTTACATATCAGCACATTTCTTGTTTTTTTTGCGATGTGTTTTCATTGTGAGTAACTCTTTCTCTTTCTCCTGCTTTCTTGCCCTAGTTTAGTTGTTTATTTTGTACAAAAAATCCCTCAAAGCCCTAAGCTATAATTAAAAGAATAATGAAAAAAGTGTAAATTTTAAGAATATTTTTTTTCTTAAAAACCCTTAATATTCTGTAGAGTATAGACCTGGCACCAATTCCTGCATTTCCTATGAATAAATTACGTCATTTACTTGATAAGTTTCCTAAAAAAATGATGCCTGAGTGAAAATTGACATGAAAGAATTTTTAATCTTATCAATGATGTTAAGATATCATCTTAAGATAAGATGAGATCATTACTGATAATTTTTCCCTCTTTTTTTTATTCGTATTTATAAATTAATAAGAAAATCATGTATTCATCTTTTCTTTCTTCATCACAAAGAAAACTGTTGATCACGTACATTATACGAAGTTTATTCTTTTTCCTTTTAATTTATGAATTTCTTAAAATTATACGGAATGATTTTGAGACTGAATTAAAACATGTTTTTCCTCCTTATATAGCTTTCTCTGCGTATAGCTTTCATGATTATAGAGAAACTTCAATCAAAAAGGATAAATTTTTAAAACAAATAAACGGTAAAAAGTGACGTTGTGAATTTAAATGGTGGTCTAGTTGAAATATCGTCAGCTAGCGATATTTTAATCGAAAAATTTAATGATTTAATTTCCTGGTCAACCTAAAAAAAAGATCGTAATAAGTTTGTTGACTCATTTAAAAATAAACCATTTCTTATTTAATAGCAGCTGTTGTGCACGGCGTTGCCTGTGGAATATTAAAACTAAAAACTCTGAAAAAAAATTCGAATTTGAAGAAAAAGTCTTGATTTTTTAGCTCATGTCCAGGGTACCCATGGATCCATCAAATAATGTTAGCCAATTTATTAACAATTTATTCTTTAATCCTTCATCCATTGATTTATCCTTTTTGTATTTATCAACTCTTTCAATTTAGAATTGGATGAACACATATCCCGTAGATCCTGCAGTCCTGTAACATCAGATAGTGAAATTGAACGAAATGGAAGGTCATTTTTTATTTTTAATTAAATTGGGTAGTTGAATTTTAGAAATTATATTTTATTTTTCTTCATTGTAATCTTTCTTGGAAGGAGTAATTTAATTTTATTCATTTTGTATCTACTGATTCATGCATTCATTTGTTAATTGACAATTTATTCAATATTTATCTGTATTGATGATTATTAGGGGTATATTTTTTCTAAAAAATGATTCTCCCTCCCCACCCCCCAAAAATTGTTTGGAATATTTTTCATTATTGAGAATGCTACTTTACGAAACATAATTTTTTATTTATTGCAGGGAGGAGCAAACTTCTTGGAGATGGGGTGAACTACCCTCCCCACATCAAAATGTCGTTAGTCAGGTTCGTCGTTTTTTATTTTTATTCGTTTTTTATAATTAAGATATAATTTTACCTTTGACCCTTTTATAATTATACAATATACATATCTCTATCGACTCCCAGTAATCCTTTTTTGTTCTACTTCTTTAAGGTTTTTCAATTTTAATGCAATCTCCAAAAATGATCTTTTAAATAATATCACTGTAATAAGAATTAACTTTAAGAAAATACAGTTTTCGATTGTTTTTATAGTTGATTCCATTACAGGCTGTAGAAGATGAAGATAAGAAGAGGAAGGTTGAGGTTGAGGAGAAGGACAGATCTCTGCTGGGTTGGTTCAGGACCAACACCGTCACCGTCAAGGAGGAGAAGCAGGAGCAGGGGATGTATTTAGACGATCTGATCAGGTAAAACTAATTTTAAGGAGATTTTGGTTTTAACTTTCGGAATTTGTTCAATTCAACTTGCAATTTTTTTCCTTCATTAGGAACTTAGTTTTTTTTTTTAACTAACTCAAATTTTCTAATCCCTATATCTTTGCAATCTGTTGATGTATACCTTTGATTATTTTTACTAACATAATTCAGAAATATAGAAAGTCTACAACATCGAAGCTGAAAACTTCAGAATCTGATCGCTTAATCTGAATATCCACTGTGGACACTTTTAATTTTCTTTTTAATCCGCTCTTGCTGGATATCACATTTTATACTGTAATTAAGATACGTTTGATTACAAATTCATATATGATGCCATATCGATTGGACTAATATCCGATTGAACTAAAGTCAATTGTTCACACGCCGGTTTTTAGAGCATTTAAACAAAAATAAATTTAGTCATATAAATATGAACTTATTAAAAAAATATTTTATCACATTTGACGACTATAGTCCTTATAAATAAACGTTAGTCTTAATAAACATTAAACCAAGATTTACGTGCGTTCAATCGATCATCGTCCAATTGATATGACACCACAAATGCGGGAAAATTAAAAATCGGTTTTTCTAATGTTAAAGAGCGCATCTCTTATCTCTAGAGACTAAATTAGTAGATTGGGAAAAATAGAGGATCAAGCTTTAATCTAGATATCCAACATTCTAAAGTTTTCAGCTCCGAACAGACTGGTTGCAAAGATACAAAGATAAAAAATCTGAGCTGAAAACTTTAGAATGGGATATCCTTAATCCCGATCGGTTAATTAATCTCGAGATTAATAACAAGAGGAGAACAAGCATTATTTAATCTCGAGATTAAGAAAAAGAGTGGATCAAGTCTTAATCCCAATATCCACCATTCAAAAGTTCCCAGCTCAGATTTTGTTTCTTTATTTAATTTTCTCCCTAAATTATATTTTTATTGATAGATTTGAATCAATATTTTAAAAGTGATCTTGTTATTTATTCTTATTTTTTAAATATATCCGCAGAAATTCAAATTTGATTTTTTAGTGGTCAGGTTGACCCTCAAACTGCCGCAATCTACCTCTCTCCTGTACCTGTACCTGTACATACGGATAATGTAGAGAAGAATTTAAATGTACAGGTGATGCATAACTCTAATCATACAGGGTGTCCCTATAAACATGGGAATTAAGTGACTACTTGAAAATAGTAAGTCAACTTTCGATAGTTTATAAATGACAAAGAGTTGTCAAAATAAAGTCTTGAGGTTTTGTAAATGTGGTCTGCCTTCAATATTGAAGGAGATATTAAACATTTAAAAGATTTCGCTGTGATGTAATTTAGTACCTTGACAGATATCTTAATATCTCCTTTAATTTTGAAGGTGCAATATGGTAGACCACATTTTGGAATTACTCAGACTAGTTGTTTTGATTATTAGCTGTCCTAACTGGAATGCTACAAAAAATGTGTTCACATAATAATACCACGCGAAAAAAGACAATAGAAGTCGTCTTTTCTCACCTTTATTGGTACACCCTGTATTATTTTAATGTAGATAAAATGCAGCTCTAATAAACTAGTTGTTCCTTTTTAAGATGATCTGTTTTGAAATATGCAATCGTGAGTTATCTTAACTAATTGATTTAAATCTAACAAAACATTTTTAGAGCTCTGTGCAATCAGAAGAGGAAAGTATCCTCCCCGACCTTAATCCATCCTCCATCCTCGACACCTTGGAGAGTGTAGTAGAGGCCAGGGACGAGGATTGTGAAAGTGGTCATGGTCCTTCGCTCCCCATGTCACCTCAGTCCGGAATAATCACCAAACCCCGAGTTAGAAATTTCAACTCGGATTCCGAAGACGACTTTCCGATAATTCTTTCCCGACACTTCCCTGATTTTTCGATCTCGCTCTGCGGGGGTTTAGGGTCTAAAGGAGAGATATCTCCGGAGGTATTCAGGGAGAAGATTGTCACGCTCGAGGACTTCACTGCAAGGTAATCATTTAGCGGTTATAATCACGTTTTTTTTTATATATATTCGCGCATTTTATATACTTAACTTTTCTTGGGTGGGGGAAGTTGATACTTCTTAATGTTCAGTCATTTAAATGACGTCTAAAACTCTAAAGTAATGATAAATTACAACATTAACATGGCGTGGGTTCATTGATGTTGTTTTAGACTACGTGAGGATCGTAATTTCCTAAACCATCCTGATCTAACAGTTCGGATAAACGAGAAGTATACAACATGGAACAATGCTGCTCCTCTACTCCTCTCACTCATTCTATACAAGGTAAATACATTTTATCTTTAGTTTCTTATTAGGCACTAACACAAGAACCCGGCGATGCCCATGCATATTAGGCTTTAGTTTGTGTGGTGCAGTGGTCCGTTTCAAAAATCGTCCATTAATCAGTAAAAACAATCTCCTACGTCTTAAAGATTAATCTAAATAATTGAGATAAATATAACATAAGTGTTACAGGTTGACCGGCTACTTTTAAACCTCATTGATGCCTTGTAATTCAGGAACCCCTTCCCAGCGACCTGGTCGCCGAGATGCTGAAGGAGGGCTTGAAGGTGAACCTCAGTCTCGACGCCAAGGAGATGGAGGTGAAGAAGGCCGATGGAGGAAGAGAGAGGAAAACGTCGTCGTGGTTAAACTGGTTTTCCAGTGTAAACACAGCTGAGGCTCAGGTTAGAATTGTCCCAACCTTACTATACTTCTTTTGAAAATACGAGTTTTCAATATTTTCTCTTTAGATTATATTTGGTCATAAACAACACGGAATAATATTAATTAATGACTTCAAAGTCGTCTTTGATTTTAGCAATATATTTTATGAAGCAATAATCACAGAATAGCCCTAGTCCTGCTTTCCACATTGGGGTTTACCATTTTTTTGCTTTAATAATTTTCGGAGATACAAATTATTTCGTTCAGAATGGGTTATTTGCATAGTTATAAGTTTTATTTAACAAATTTATATTTAAACAAAATTAGTGCAGTTTGAGTTTGAACCTAACTTTCAACAGTTGAGTCAGACATTACTGAAAACTGCAAATACAGCTAAGATATCAAATTAAAGAATTGTATGAATCAGAAATATCTGTCAACATATATTTTCCCCTCGTCTTCAAGAGACTAGAATGCGTAGATCTAAAAGAGAAGAACAGAAAACAGATGTATGATCTGATAAAAATAAGATAAAACAGTCGGAGAATAAAAACTCACTGTTCTTTATAAATTTTGTTTTAAAAATAAATTGTTAAAAAATGTATTTAAACAAAATGTCACTCCACATTTTGGAAATGGCGGATTAGGGTTAATCAGTGATGATTGTTTCATTTAAAAAAAATGGTTAAAAATAAGATAAAAATAATGAATGCGCTGCAAGCTCTTTCTAAGGTAAAAGATGATCTTTGAAGTCATCAATCAATTTATATTAGTCCGGCTTGTTTATAATAGGACTTTAATATCCCTTATGTAGTGACATAAAAACCAAAATTAAAAAAAAATGTGGTTCGTTTGAACATAAAGCACAACCATGAAAAATAAATTTGAAATAGTTTCTTTTTATTCTCCCGAGCCCCTTATATTTGATATCTTGTATGTCTTGGTGTCGGGTAGTTCTTGTTATTTCCAGTAATCTCTCCCTTGGGTATTATTCCTGTGTTCTCAATATCTGAAAATAACTTTGTAATGACAAAAAATGCAGGGGAATACATTTTTATTAATTCCTACCCTACCTCCCTCCCTCCTAACCCAAGTATGTGAAATAAAAATATTTTGGTATTAGAAGTTTAAAAAGGAAGACAATTTGCCAGTTGACATTTTCTCTCTTTTTGTTTTACATACAGGGTGTCCCAAAAAACATGGGAATTCAGTGACGAATTCGATATCGTCTTTGTTATGAAATAGCATTGTAATACCTAATTTCAAAAGCCGTAATATTATTATGTCTGCAGGAGTTTATTTTATGAAAAGGGTAAAAGACTGCAATTATGTATCAATAATGTCTCCGCAAGATGAACAGTGAAGACAGACAAGTTTACTCTGTTTTTATACTGCAAAATTCCTGTTTTACTAAGTACAACCGTATGCAGTCAAAACATAAACAAACAAAAAAGTGAACATAGCAGACGAAACTCTTACAGATTAAAGCTTTCTCAATAGGTATTACCATACTAAATCAAAGAATTATTTGAAAAGACGATATCAAATTCGTCACTGAATTCCCATGTTTATTGGGACACCCTGTAGCATCTATTTATTTTGTATATGGTATTCAGGGTAAAGATGTGTTAGTAGAGAAGGTCGTGAAGGTTGAGATTGATACAACTGAAACTGAGATCAATTCTGAACCTGTAATGAATGAAGATGAGAAGACTGATGAACCGGCAGATCTGGAGAATTCCTCGACGGACGGAGAGAACGAGAGAAGGTGTCGGAAGACTCTGAGATTGAACTCTGAAAGGTTGAAGCAGTTGAACCTTAGACCTGGAAGCAATGAGGTTCAGTTTAGCGTGACCACTGCGTTCCAGGGAACAACAAGATGCAAGTAAGTTGTTTGAATTCAAACTCATGTCTCGTTGGACCGTGACAAGGGTATATATATTTTGACAAATTTAACCCCCTCCTCCGGCCCACGCCGATTTGCTCTGGAGTGGGAGGGGTGGATTTATTTTAGCTTAACTCAAACCAATAGAGGGCAATAAAGGGCATAATTATTTCTAATATAATAAGTTTGGGAAACGTGGATGCATTATTTTTCAAATAAAGTAAATATCCTTGGACCGGCAACTCACGGGTAAACTGATTGTTTGAATGATTGATATATATTGATTGATTGATTGTAGGTGTCACATCTACCTATGGAAGCACACGGACAAGGTTGTCATCTCCGATATCGACGGAACAATCACCAAGTCTGATGTTCTTGGGCATATCCTTCCTGTTATTGGTAAGACACATTAACACGTTGTCCTAATTCCCAGTGACCAGATTTGATGAAAGTAGTTGAACTGCATAGACAATAGACATAGTTGAACCACTTCTGTTCAGCTTGAACTGACACACAAGAAAATTGTTTGAACCGGTGTTGCGGTACGTTGTTCAACTTCTTGTTGCGATTCATTACGTTCGGTCTTAGTAAGGGAATATCAGAAATATGACGACATTAGAGACAATTACTTATCAAAATGAACTAATGAGTGGTAATAGCTAAGTCGGTTAAACCTCTGATCTTATGAACTATTAAAGAAGTGATGCAATTTATTTTTTTGCTCATTTATTTATTTTTTGGAAATTCAAATTCAAATCACAATCACTCTTTTTCCCTTAAATTGTTATGTGGTTTCTTGTGTCTGATAAAAGTGACTTTTATCAATCATCTTCCACATTATTGATCAGGTTAATGTTTCAAGGGTACCGTTATGTAGCGGGCATTGCCATATTACCATGAAGGATAACTTGAAGTTACACTTTTAGTCCCTTTTATCAACCTCAAACAACATAAATTTGTAGGTCGTGACTGGGCGCAGAGTGGAGTAGCGCAATTGTTTACCAAGATTCGAGCAAATGGTTACCATATTATGTACCTCTCTGCCAGGGCTATTGGACAGGCCAGCATTACTAAGGAGTACCTTCAGTCGGTCAAACAGGTATTAATAATAGCATAATAAATAAATTATTATGAAATCATTGGACTTAAATGATAAGAATTGTCGTCTTTTAATCCAAAAAATGTTGCGGAGTTTTAATGTTTTGTTTTGTAACAGAAAACTTTCTTCTCAGGGAGATCTTTGCTTGCCAGACGGACCTTTGTTCCTCAATCCTGAATCTTTGATTCACGCTTTCAGGTTAGTTAGTTCTGTGTCCGAAGTTAATGCATTTAACCCCCTAAAATCCCCCAAAAACCGGTTTCAATTGAGCATTGGCTTAAATTTTGAAAATTTTAATACAAATTTAAGTGGACTCAACAAAATTTGAGCCGCGGCTTAAATTTAAACCGCGGCTCTAATTCTTTAAATTCGGCCTCAGGCTTTTAGATTTAGAGTGTAGATGTTGATGATGTTGTACCAGGGACCGAATTTAATGAATTTAATCTGCCTACTTCCTGTTCAAATAGTTCCTTAATCTTATCTTTGAATTGGTGGTTCAAATTTGAACCAGTTGTAAGAAGTTCAGCGACGTAGCTCATATTCATCAAATTCGGTTCCAGAGATGAGTTTGATTATCCTGATTCAAATAATGTTCTAACTTTCTCTTATTTTTTACTTACTGATGTTAAATTAAGAGTTTCTGATATTGAGTATTGATGTTGAGTTAGAATTCATGTTTATATTGATTTTAGAAATCATTTTTGTTTATGATGTCGATATCAAAGCGTATTAATAAGATGTTAGAATTCATGTTAATGTTGATGATTTTTTAAGTTAGAAATGATGTTGATGTTGATGTTGATGTTGATGTTGATGTTGATGTTGATGTTGATGTTGATGTTGATGTTGATGTTGATGTTGATGTTGATGTTGATGTTGATGTTGATGTTGATGTTGATGTTGATGTTGATGTTGATGTTGATGTTGATGTTGATGTTGATGTTGATGTTGATGTTGATGTTGATGTTGATGTTGATGTTGATGTTGATGTTGATGTTGATGTTGATGTTGATGTTGATGTTGATGTTGATGTTGATGTTGATGTTGATGTTGGTGTTGGTGTTGATGTTGATGTTGATGTTGACATGTCGAAGATGTTGATGTTGATACTAATGTTGTTGATGTGCAGGAAGGAAGTGATTGACCGGAACCCTGAAGAGTTTAAGATCCGATGTTTGAAGGATATTCAATCTTTGTTCCAAGGCAGGAATCCATTCTTTGCGGGATATGGAAACAGACCTAATGTAAGTTACTTATTTATTATGTAATAGTAAACGTTTGTACAATGCTATAATTAAGATTTTTTGGACTAAAGCAGCAGAAGAAAACAGTAACTGTTAAATTGTTGTAGATACAAATGAAATTGAAATCAATCTGATGGGAATTTATCAACCCAAACTCCTGAACACAACTTTAAAACGTGTTGCTTTACAGTTTATTAGGGGAGTATATTTACAAGTAGTTGAATTGTCCCCCCCCCCTGCCCCCTGCCGTTATTGTCATGAATTTCCTTCCTAGGTGGGAACCGTTTTCTATGCTTTTTATCGCAAACCAACTATTATATTCACTAACCCACTTATTTTACCATATTTTAAGCCATTATGCATCACTTACCTAGATTATTATCTTGATTTACAATCATTTAGTCATTTTTTCAACATTTTTTGTTTCCCTCAAAGTCAAAACCAAAAGAAGTTTGCTGGAGAGGGGGAGCTTGCGAGGGGGCCGAGCCCCCCTTGCACGGACAATTTTTTGTATTTTGGTGGTTCGCTGGAGTTATTATATGGATATTATTACGTTTCTTCTTCTTTTAATATATTTTTTCTTCCCTTTCCTCCGTTTTTCTCTTTTCTTCCCATTTTTATTTTTTATTCCTTTTTCCTTGAATTTCCTTCTCTGGGCTGAATTCTTTTCTCCCCCTCTGAAGGGGGGAGGGAGAGGAAGTAAGTATATTCTTACCTGCAATTTGTGGCATATTTTTTCTTCTTCAGTTAATATATCGAGACAATTCATTTACAGAAAAGACAGAAAAACGACCATATCCTCCTCGTTGATAATCCTCAACTGGGAATGTACCGCACTAAAACAATGGTTGCTAATTCATTGCTCTGTATGTGCAGGATGCGTATGCGTATCGTGCTGTAGGTATACCAATATCTCGTATCTTCACCATCAATCCTCGTGGGGAACTCAGACACGAACTAACACAGAACTTTCAGACCTCGTAAGTAGTTTCTTAACTAGGTAGTTTATAGTCTCTCTCTATGCACTACAAAGTGTTAACTAACTTTCTTCTTCTTTAACAACTAGTGCTTCAAACATAGGCCTTGGGATCCATGGGTCTTTATTTATTATCAATTATTTCGAGATTTATTTTATCTCTTCTCTGCTCCAGATATGAATCCCAATCCTTGGAGATCGAAGAATATTTTCCCAATGTTCTCTCCCAAGTCAACCACATGGAGGAGTATAGGTCCAGGAAGCAGTCCCTCTATTATGAGACCAAGGAACACCCGGAGAATGCAAAGAAATCCTTCGAGGACAGACAGTACTCGGAACAGAACGAGTCTCGTCCGTTCCGTGTTAGATCAGGGACGGATATCTCCAATTCACTGATTTCTGCCAGGTTCAAGTTCAAGAGATCGCAGAGCAAAGTGATCCAGGATCAGGAGACAATCCTAGAGCTGGAGAAAAGTGGATCCAAACTCACCCTGGTTCAACCTACTACTGGAGATGAAACCAGAACCTCGACCAGCGATCTTATCTTCCAGGAGATTCAGGATAAGGTTCTTTTTGATCTGTACGAGCCTGGCAGTAGTCCTAGAACGGATCTAGAGTCCGGAGACCCACAAGAGATTGAAGAGTTTGAAGACTGCTTGAGCCGGAAACCGTCCTGCTTGGAAATGAATGATTTGGTTCGGACCTAGCTCATCGTAATCTCATCTTAGCTCAGCTGCTTCTCTAAATGTAAGAGTCCTGTTTGACCAATCCTATTCCTGTTATGTTTAGGGATTTAGATTAACATTGGATATTTATTGTAATGTTTAAAGATTAACTTAGGATTTTTACAAATGCAGCTTGTAGAATTTTGAGCATTTGGAAAAAGTAGATTCCATTTTTGTATAGGATTAAAAATGTCAAACCCAATAAGTTTTTTATTCATTTTTACAAACATACATTTTTAAAAATCCTACTTGCAGCCAATTTTTTTACTCGAATGTAGACGATAGATCGAAGAGGGTTTGTTGAATAATTTTATCATACACGTAATTATATTTGACCTGAGGAACAAAGTACTGATTAAAGGGAATACAAGGGAGATTTTGCTTTATTTTTATCTTTGGTGTTCCTTCACACCTACTAACATCAAAAGCAGTGTTTAAAGAACATGTACTTGGTGCAGGTATTAATCATTGCATAATGCTTTGTTAAATGAGAGATGCTGCCCATTTTAGCAATAATATTGCGAACTTTTAGGAGCATAAACATTGAGCCTAATGTACATTATTAACACCACACCTGCCGTACTTTTTTTAGTAGGATATTCTTGGGCCCTAATTTAGTAGGATATTCTTGGGCCCTAATTTAGTAGGGTATTCTTGGGCCCTAATTTAGTAGGATATTCTTGGGCCCTAATTAAGTAATCATTGAAATAAAACAATTTATATAAAAAAATATTCTATTCATGAACCTCTTTTTCTAATAGTTATGCTATTTTCTTAATTTGTTTTTTCGTCAAGTTTGATACATTTGGTAGGTTTTCATTTCAAATTGTTGAATCGGATCGCTTCTAGTTCTAACCAAATATAGGATGGTTACAAAACGGAAACTAACAAAACTTGATCTCACGGATAAGAATTTAAAATATATAAATTTATAAGAGTATGTTACTGATCTTGAAACTAACCAGAGTGCATGTTTGTTTTCTTCTTTATGCTTTCTCTCCTCTATTCTAGACATTGTAAAGAGACTGTCGATGAAAATTCATGTTTCCTCTCATTTAAAAAGTTTTAAGGTCCAATTTACAACGTCATCCTTAGATCTTGATGATTTTCTTTGAAAAATTACATTCAGCTGAAATCTACAAGACAGAGAAATGTCTAGTTTTCTTTATTGTGAATTTGTAAAGAGGTTAAAGGTACCGTTGTGAATCGGGTTGGTAGACCTGTAATCGAGTGTCACATGGAGTTGGGTCTACAGTCCCTTCAACTAATTACTAATTACACAGGGGTGTGTTTTTTCACAAGTATTTTAAGGAAATAAGGAGAAATATTCAGATTAATATATTTAGACATTAATCAAATGTGATCAGATATTTTTTATTTATTTATTTTGTCAAAAAACAAAATATTAAAATCAGTGCTTAAGATCCATTTAATTTTGATGCGGATCCGGATCCAGGTCATTGATCAAAAAAAATTTTATTTTAGTTCAAATGTCTTTTCATACCTAAAAAAATGTTAAACATTTTAACATTTTTTTATACTATTTTTCTATTAGTTTGCACAAAATGATAATGATTTTTTTTACTTTATTGGATGAAAAAAAATTAAAATCTGTTAAACAATTCAAAATAGGATATTTTTAAGGAAAATTAAAGCTGTTTTGCACATTTTAAAAAATAAAATTGTGCTTGGATCCGGATCCGTGGATCCGCATTTTTTTTGCGGATCCGGATCCGGATCCAAAGAGCCAAAATAATGCGGATCCAGCGGATCCGGATCCGGATCCTAAGCACTGATTAAAATTATACATTATTTTTTTATACGACATTCTGATTTCTAGCAGGACCAATCAAGCCATAAATATATGAAAGTAACCTCATAACAGCTGTGATAATTTGAAGCATATATATATATAGAAGGATATTTGTGTTATAACTTCAAGATGGCATATTTAAATAATAAAAATTCAATATTTTCTTCTTATTCGCTCAATGTGCATTTTGGGATTACCTGTATACCTCTTGGTCTTTATTTTTGAGTTATTGATTTTAAATTTTACTTTGTTCAGGTATGTACACCAGAGCGAGATCGCCGATCACTACTTTCCGCCGACGGGTAAGGACGGATTTCATCCGGACTTCAAAATCCAGGAGTACTCCGGCTTTGGATTTTGGCGGGAACCCATCCCCGCAGTGGAAACCCCGGTCCTTGAAGATCATGAAGAGAAGAAGTAGCGTCTCATGATTTGGTAGATTTTCTTCTCACGTAACAAATAAATCCAAGATGGCCGACCACAAACTGTTCAAATTCAAGTTAGTTAAAATAACACATGCAGTTGTGTTATTATTGTTTTCTCCGCAATCACGTAAATTTGCAGAGGTTTGTTCAGGACTGCAATTGAATTTATATCAGGCCATCTTGCAAATTGATTTGATAAAAAGTCTTAGAACTTCCGTTGAAGGTGGTAAAAATGCGGCTTTAGCGGATTGGTTCCGATTTTATTATACGGGCCCGATTTTTCAAATAAAATAATGCAATAAAAGAATTTATACTTAATCAAATTGTTGAAGCTTATTGTGATATCGCCCATGCATTGTCTTCAAACTATGTGGGAAGACCAAAAGTGAAGTTTCTAATTTAACTACATGAACTTCAAACTCATTGATGTCAGGCTTGAAATTTTGTGATTAATAGTTAAAAATGTGTTAATTGTTTGTAACTCCAGCAAAGTTCATTTTGTAACTCCAGCGAAGTTCATTTTGCAACTCCAGCTAAATTCATTGATATAAAAAGATGTGATTTTTGTTGTTTACTAAATTAATTTTTCATTCAGATTGGCATAATTTTCCTAGAAACTAGAAATTTTGAAATCGAAGTTACCAACAATTAGTAAAAAAGCTGAATTTGTCGTAATTTTATGGTTTCTTGATTTAGTAATCTTAAACTGTAGATCCAGCCCATGACTGAAATGCCTAAAGTACAATATTACGTGTATTTGCTGTATTATAGTTTTCATATCNCCCATTTCCATAATGTTGACCCCCGTTAATCATCAAGATTTCAAGAACTGTTTGAAAATATGAAAATTATACTCAACTCTCGGGAGTCTTCTCTATAATTGCCGCTGGCGCCATTCTGGTGTTCGTGATTTATAAGATTATATTATTTCCTCGCTATAATTGTTTTTGTGTATATTGTGGCTTATATCAGTAATTCAGTCATTTTTATAAAGTTTTATGTGCTCGGGGAGTTATTTTATAACACCCTAATTCCTATATTATTTGCCAGAGTAAGGGGCCAAGGAGAGACCCTTTTTGGACTACAACTGGCCCCTTGAATTAATTTACTAATACTATTATTTTATGTTATCCATTAATTATTACATTCAGAATAAAAGCATTTATGTTTAAACTAAAAAAGATTTAACTAGGAAGATAGATCATAGATAAATCTGAAGAATGGATAGCTAGTTAATTAATCTTAAGTATGGATAGCTAATAAATCTTAAGAATGGATAGATATTACATCTAAAGGATGGATAGATAGTTAATAAATCTTAAGAATGGATAGATATTACATATAAAGGATGGATAGATAGTTAACAAATATGAAGGACTGTTAGGGGGGTATCAAAGGCTAAAAAAGTCAACATTTTTAATTTTTTCAAATAAATGCATATTTTTCTTTAATTTCACTGGCAGCGCCGGGCACCTCAGCTAGTAGTAATTAAATTGATAGATAGTTATTAAATCTGACGGATGGATGGATAGATATTTAATAAATCTAAACGATGGAAACATATTTATTAAATCCAAAGGATAGATAGATAGATAGTTAATATATCTGAAGGATGAATAGATAGTTAATAAATCTGAAGGATGGATAGATAGGTAGTTAATAAATCTGAAGGATGGGTAGATAGATAGTTAATAAATCTGAAGGATAGATAAATCTCTATGATAAAACAAGACATTCATATATGTTGCGTATAGTCGGCTAAACCGCTGAAATTTTTTGTGGACACTCATGGGTGGCCGGGGGTGTTATTTTTTTAACATTTTTTTAAAATTTTTTTTTTCCACGGCAACGTGTCGGGCCCTTCAGCTAGTAATCAATAAATCTGAAGGATGGATAAATATAATAAATATATAGTTGATAAATATGAAGAATAAATAGATAGATAGTTAATAAATCTGAAGCACGGATAGATTCTTAAGTATAGATAAATAGGTAATAAATCTGAAGGATGGTTGGATAGATAGATAAATCTAAAATCTAGATAGATGAATAAATAGATGGATATCTGAAATCAGGATAGATAAATAGATGGATGGATTTCTGAAAGCGGGATATATAAATAGATAGATGTCCGGATATCTGAAAGCACGATATATTAATTTATAGATGGATATCTAAAAGCAGAAAAGATAGATAGCTAAATAAATCTGAAAGCTGGATATATAGATAGATAGATAGATAGAAGATAGATACATCTGAAAGATAGATAGATAGTGTAGATATTTAGAAAGCCCTGGTATCCAAGACACCAGAAAGGTTTACTATAGTTAGTAAGGGGAGACGACTTGTAGAGCTTTGGTTTTAGGGGAATACATTATATTCATGGCAAAATATATTTAATACATTTATGATTTAATACATAGAATACGTAGAATACATAGAATACACAGTATACATTTACTTAAAATACGAAGAATGAATAGAATATATAGAATATATTTATGAAAAATACAAAAAATACATAGAATAGATAGAGTATGTATATACAGACAATACATAGAATATATTCATGACAAAATGCATAGAATACATAGCATACATAGTATACATTCATTAAAAATACATAGATTACAAGATAGACATGTTCGCTTTTAGATAAATGGATATATACTGTTAATTTTAGATTTAGAAAAATAAATAAATGGAGGTTTTATAAAAGTGTCTGAAAATGATAGAAATCGACTCTCAGAGGTAAGATTTTTTTCAACATTTTTGAAGGTTTGAAATTAATTTCTATTCAGAGGAGAGTCAGAAACCGACTTTTATTCCAAACTGTTGGCCTTAAAACAGGAACAAGAAGATCATCTCAAACTTGGTAGGTTTAAAGGGATGTTTATTGAATCCGGATAGGATTAAAGGGATGTTTATTGAAGCTGGATAGGATTAAAGGGATGTTTATTGGAGCTGGATTGGATTAAAGAGCTGTTTATTGACGCTTGTTAGGATTAAATGTGATGTTTAGGAAAGGTCGGTACGATTAAAGGGATGTTTATTTAAGCTGGATAGGATTAAAGGGATGTTTATTGGAGCTGGATAGGATTAAAGAGCTGTTTACCGAAGCTTGTTAGGAATAAGGGGATGTTTATTGAAGGTTGGTAGGATTAAAGGCATGATTATTTAAGCTGGGTAGGATTAAAGGGAAGTTTATTTAGCTTGGTTATAGGTTTAAAGGAATGTTAATTGAGGCTGGATAGGGTTAAAGGGATGTTTATTGAAGCTGGATAGGTTTGAATGGATTTTTATTGAAGTTTGGGAGGTTTAAGGAATGTTTGTTGAAGCTGGGTAGGTTTAAAGGGATGTCTATTGAGGCTCGGTAGGGTTAAAAGGATGTTTGTTAAAGCTGGGTAGGTTTAAAGGTATGAAAATTGAAGCTGGGTAGGTGTAAGCTGGGTAGGTTTAAAGGGATGTTTATTGAAGCTGGATAGGATTAAAGGGATGTTTATTGAAGCTGGATAGGTTAAAAGGGATGTTTATTGAAGCTGGACAGGATTAAAGGGATGTATATTGAAGCTGGATAGGATTAAAGGGATGTATATTGAAGCTGGATAGGTTAAAAGGGATGTTTATTGAAGCTGGATATGATTAAAGGGATGTATATTGAAGCTGGATAGGATTAAAGGGATGTATATTGAAGCTGGATAAGTTAAAAGGTATGATTATTGAAGCTGGATAGGATTAAAGGGATGTATATTGAAGCTGCATAGGTTAAAAGGGATGTTTATTGAAGCTGGATAGGTTAAAATGGATGATTATTGAAGCTGGATAGGATTATAGGGATGTTTATTGAAGCTGGATAGGATTAAAGAGATGTTTATTGAAGCTGGATAGGATTAAAGGGATGTTTTTTGAAGCTGGATAGGATTAAAGGGATGTTTATTGAAGCTGAATAGGATTAAAGGGATGTTTATTGAAGATCGATAGGTTAAAAGGGATGTTTATTGAAGCTGGATAGGTTTACAGGGATGTTTGTTAAAGCTGGGTAGGTTTAAAGGGGATGTTTGTAAAAGCTAGGTAGCTTTAAAGGGAAGTTTGTTAAAGTTTGGTAGGTTTAAAGGGATGTTTATTGAAGTTTAGAAAGTGAATTGGACAAAGCTAAATAAATAGGTTTTCAAATTTTGTAAATCATGTTTGACAAAAGATAGAAGAAACAAAATATTTAAAAACATAGTTGAAGAGATCTACAGAAAAGAGCTAGCTACTGGAGGGATCACTGGCCACCAACCTGTCCCTAAAAGTATTCTAAAGAAATCTGCCAAGCTTCAACGGGATTTAAAGGTAAAAAATCGCCTTCATTAAAGGGGCGGGAAACGGAAATTCTAGAGGAGCATGTCCGATTCATGCCAGCACCATTTCAACTTTATCTGGTCAATAACGTGATAATGTCATCGTGTTTAATAATCACAATTCACAATTTTGTGCATTGTTTCTGAGAGCAAAAGTCCTGTACAACATTATATATATAGAGTTTCGTATAAATTTGACACAATTTATATCAATTTCTCGAGAAAGAAACATCAGATAGAACTCTCATGGGTCTCTATCAACTCCTAAAATGCTTAGGTTTCAGCCTATACCCCTGTTCATGTTTCCTTTACAGTTCCTTTAAAGAGAAATCAATAGATAGCACATTCATTCTTGATTAAACAAGGTTTCAAGGGTGTTATGCCACTATAAATTGAGAGCAGGGGTGTATTCAGGGTGGGGGATTTATTATTCAAAGAGAAATCAATGGATAGCACATTCATTCTTGATTAAACAAGGTTTCAAGGGTGTTATGCCACTGTAAATTGAGAGCAGGGGTGTATTCAGGGTGGGGGATTTATCATTTAAAGAGAAATCAATGGATAGCACATTCATTCTTGATTAAACAAGGTTTCAAGGGTGTTATGCCACTATAAATTGAGAGCAGGGGTGTATTCAGGGTGGGGGATTTATCATTTAAAGAGAA